CTGGCACTGGACGCGCACGCTAAAGTCGGTTCCCTTGAACCAGCCGGGCAGAGGCTCGTACGTTGGTTTGCTGCAGCCAGCAGTAACAGCCTGGTTGAACAGGCTCGTTGTATCCACCAGAAGTGGCTGTCCACAGACCGGCCGCGTGGTGGACGTATGGACCCCCGGAACACTCTCCGGGTAAACTCCAGGTCAACAGCTGGTAGTGTTAGAGGTAGATATGTTGGTTTGGTGGTAGTGAGTGGTGGTAGTGGTGGTATGGTGTTAGTGAGGGTAGGGTGGTAGTGGGTGGTGGTATTTGTGGAGGAAGTGGTGGATGGTATGTTGTGAGTATAGTGGATGGATGTAGCGTGGCGGGTGTAGTGGTGGTGGTATTGGTGTAGTGGTTTAGTGTGTGTAGGTAAGTGGTGGTAGTGGTGGTGGTATGTGGTGGTAGTGGTGGTAAGTGTGTGTTAGTGGTGGTGTGGTAGGGGTGGTGGTAGTGTGGTGGTAGTGGTGGTGGGTAGATTGTTGGATGTGGTATTGGTGGGTAGTGGTGGTAGTGGTGGAAGTGGTAGTGGAGGTGGTAGTGGTAGTGGTATGTGGGGGTGTGTGGTGGTAGTGGTGGTGGTAGTATGGTGTGTAGTGTAGTTGGTGGGGAAGTGGTGGTGGTAGATGGTGGTAGTGGTGGTAGTGTTGGTGGGTTGGTAGTGTGTGAGGTTAAGTGGTGGTGGTATTGGTTGGTAGGGTATTAGAGTGTAGGTAGTGTAGTGGTGGTGGATATTGGGGTAGTGGTGTAGTGGTGGATGTATTGGTGGTAGTGTGTGGTGACGAGTCAACAATTTCAGAACAAACAGTACAAACAGTAGTCAGTATACACATTTACATTATTATGACTACTGATATGTTAACATAACTGTTTAATATACTTCACAACACTGGTAGTGGCGTGGTAGTAGTGGAGTGGTGGTTGGTAGTGGTAGTCGTGGTAGTGGAGGTGGAAGTGGTGGTGGTAGTGGTGTAGTGGTAGTGGAGTGAGTAGTGGGTAAGTGGTGGTGGTAGTGTGTTAAGTGGTAGCAGAGGTTGTGGTAGGGTGGTAGTGTGGTGACGTCAACAAATGTCAGACAAACAGAACAAAACAGGTAGTCAGTAATAACAAGTTACATTTATTATATCTAATACTGGTTTTATGTTACAAACTACTGGTTATTATACTTTACAACAACACTGGTTATTGTAGTGGTATATAGTAGATAGTTGGTGTGGACGATCAACAATGTCAGACAAACAGTACCAAACAGGTAGTCAGTAAAACAGTTATATAACATACTACTGGTTTATATTAACATACTACTGGTTATATTAACATACTACTGGTTATATTAACATACTACTGGTTATTATACTGGTATATACTAACTCAGACTCGCTGCTTCAACCTACATTATTAAATATATTTTTATAATCACCATTTACGTATATTTTGAACACCATGAACATGTCTCTCACCATGTTTCACATGTCTTGTATTTTAAATATCTATTTTCATCAGAATCAGACCTGATTATGTCGAGTGTTTTAATGTGATGTATTAGCTCACACACGGAGGACCAGGGTTCGATCCCCGGTACGTGTGGGACCTTTAATAATAATAATGTCATTGTCCCAGGATGCAACCAACACACCATCCACTAACACCCAGGTACCTATGTTTAAACTGATGTACGATTAAAAACAGCAGGATGTCCTTATGGAAACGCATCCCTAATGTTTTTCTTCCCAGCTGTACTGTGAGGAGGTTCGAACTCCTGACCATCAGTGTGATGATCCGAGTGTTCGAGTGATCTGTAGCTACATACACCTGACTGTCCCTGTTCATCTAGCAGTAAGTAGGTACCGGGATGTTAAGTGTATGGTTGTTGGGTTGAGCATCCTGGGTGTTAAGTTGGAGTGGTGCTGGGTAGCATCCTGGTGTTAGTGGACTGGTGGTGGGTCGTCATCAGAAGGCTGCTTCAACCTGTTATTAGTTGTTCTTTCACAGTTGTTCTTATTTTTGGTATGCCAGCTTATATCCATTTCAGACAGGGGATCCTCGTTCAAGAGTAACGAACTTCAAGGAGTTTTTTGGCTAGCAAAGGATTGCCTGCAGCAAACAACAAGCTACAACCCTCAAGGCAATGGCCAAGTGGAGCGGTTCAATGGTACTATAGGAAGGCAGTTACAATGACATTTAAAGTCGCGCAATCTCTACCTTTCAACACTGGCAAACTGTCCTAACCTGATGCACTCACTCATTAGATGCACTGCTGTTGCACAGCTACTAATGCAACCCCTCATGAAAGACTCCTCAACTATTCACGTCGTTCCTCTACGGGGAGCCTCCGTGCCCACTTTGTTAAGTCAATCCTGGACCCGTTCTCCTGAAGAGACACGCGTAGGATGAACAAGACGGATCCTTTAGTGAAGAAGTTAGCGCGTCCTGCAAGCTATCCACATTAACGCCCACAAATCGCTCCCAAAATGTGAAGAGACTACAGTATCTTACAAGACAATAAGTCCCCAGTGAAATTCCCTATTAGTGGTGGGAATCTCAAATACACCAATAATGTGTAAGATGCTTCCGTTTTCCCCTCCCAGGAAAGGCCCCTTGAGACTATCTCCCTATGAAAATAAGATTCTGCCTCCACAGTAATCAAACCCCGCTGGAAAATAACGGAACCAGGTGAAGAGCTCAAGGCTACGAAGGTCGGGACTTGTACGTCGCCCACCTAACAGTTTGGTGAGATTAAGCTGTCTCTGAAATTTTAAAGGGGAGATTGTAGTGATACTGGACCTGTGGGGAGCAGCAGCAGGATTAATACTGCAAATGCACCACCTCTAGGGGCCCTTAACAACAACAACATTTTGGTGTGGGTCATGGCCACCAACACATGGTGTTTGATTCATTCCTACTTTATCCTTTTAATCAGTCGAAAGCAGATTACATGGTAGTTTAAATATGTGGCCTGTATTTAAAACTTTTCTCATTGACATAATGCAAGACATCACCATCCCTGTAGAAGGCAATTCATTAGATGTACTAGTCAATAAATATTTTGTGTTGCAGAAGTACTAATAGAGAACTATGTTCAATAAAGCCTAGAGATTAAGGCCTGTGGTTTCTATCACAACAGATGCCATAGTAGGGAAACAAGTTGAATTCAAGAGATAATAAAAACCAATATTGCAAACTAGAAGATACCGCAGGAAATACAAACAAGAGACTCCACTAGCAATAGTGAGTATAAATTACCAAAACAACTGTTTGGAGCTCCATTGTTTGGTGCTTAGGAGGATAGAAGTAAGACATGGAAACATGCACCAACATGGAATAACGTCACAGAAACCCAAGGCAAGCGGAAACCAAGCCTGTGCACATACTATGCACTTGTATCTGTCTTGCATGGAAATCTTGAAAAAACGATGGGATCGTGCAACTATGACCACCCAGAGAAAAATGCCATGCCCATAGATGACTAACATGAAGATTCAAACTCCCTTCCTGTAAGCTTTTTTCAACACCTGAACTGTGTACCCTCTTCACCAGTACAGGAAAGACTGTCTATAACTTAAATTTGCCTGCACAACCATCTAAAGGGGAGCCAAAAAATACAAAACATCCAGGCCATGGGAAAACCTGGGTAGCCCACAACCACTCAAGAGGGAGAGTTTCTTTAGTGCCAGGAAGGAAAAAAAACCTGCAGGACAATGGCAGAAATCGTACACACCAATCCAGTCATTCTGGAGTGGTAACCACAGCGATGGCCTCCCACTCCAAACCAACAGATACAGAACTAATGCCGAAAAAAAAATCCCCCCCAGTCCCAACAATACCACCAGTCCGATAAACATTCTTCTTTGCAAATAACAGGGTCTAAAGCCACAACAAAACAACCAAATACCTTTCATCCGAGGACTGCTTTGCAGAGGCAAAGGCAATGTTCGTAGGCTTCACTGAGACCACATAAAGGATCAACTTGGACAACGAAATATGGATCCCAGGTTACAAATATACAGATGTGACAGAGTGAACACAAAAGGGGGGGGGGGTGGCCTGACATGCAGAGTACACTTGTTTAGCACAGTAACTGCTTAAATGCCTCAAAAGATGTAGTGGAAGTTTTAGCAGTAAAGGTCGAGAACAAAACCTAGTTCATTGTGGTAGTCTACAACCTCCGATGCAACATCCCAGCAATTACCAGGAACAGCTGTTAAAAATTGACCACTGTCTGGAAAATCTTCCAGCTCCTGCACCCAACAACATGCCCAAAATAATACTTATAATCACTTACGTTGATTTATCCCTTCCTTGTAATCAAACAGAAATGAAGCTCACATGGTGCAAATTCTTGAGTACTTTTTGATCATTATTGTGTTTTATAGTACATTTTGTTTTGTTTTACTGTGCATTTAGCTATAGTCAACTTTCTTACAAAGCTCTTGTATATAATGCAATTTTTTTGTACATTTGAGTGAAGTGCATCCAGCACTGAATAGCACTTGGAAGGTCTTCAGAGTATGAGTATATGATATCCTATTTTGGATGCACTTTTTCACTTGGATTTGCCAAAAGTCACACTGTATATAGAATAGCTTTATAAGAGGCTGACTGTATTTTATAAACATTTGCTTCTGATATATAATGTTGATAGCTATAAGTCATATAGGTCTTTACTTTTGGAAGGATTCTTATACTGAAGGATTGACTTCGTTATTTTGCGAAATTTTAATCATTGTCTTCATGAATATAAATTAATTTGGAGACTATATATACTTGTATTTCTGTGATTTGAGGAAACCCACATGAAGACTTAAAGAGGGTGAAAAAAGCAACTGCATATTTCACTCTCTGAGATGATCTTGAGCAGTACAGGAGAGTGAAAGAGTCTGGGTTTAGCATATAGGGGCAGATCTAAGAGTCACATGTGTGTTAATATTTGTACACCACCATACCTTTATGCTGTGTGTCTGTTTTGCTTCAGTAAGTAGTGGCAGTTCGGTGTTTCAGGCCCCAGATGTTTACGGTTGAGTGAGGATGCTGCGAATAGAGTCATACATCACACCCATTATCCTCAGCTATGTGGATAAATACATAAAAAATCTCAAACCAGAGGATTCTCAGGTATGTCAGAACTCAAGATTGCAGTTGATAAATGAATTCCAAAATTATTTCTTTGTAAAGGTTACAGTGTGTAATTACAATTTTTGTTTGCTAAGTAAAAAAAAAGCCACTATCATGCCGGGGCATTTCAGGCAGTCTAATCCTAGTACATAATAACTGCTTAAATCTAGACAAGATAAATTGGTTAACTTGTATTAAAATCTTTATTTAATCTTGATACAGTGGAACCCTGGATTTCATCTCAAATTCAATTCAATTTCAATTCAAACTTTATTCTCTATAAGTATTACAATGCTGAGTTTACAGAATTTGGTTATCTCGTGTGGATATCATACAAATTGAATTTTGACCACTTTTTTGGAGAGAAATTTTACCCAGGGTTTTGTACCTCTGCTCGGAAATCGTCAATATCAGATGCTTCCGCCCATCTGGGATGCTGCCACTCACATGTATGTGACTCAGTCTGCCTCTGTCATGTATTCAGTGAGCAATAATCCATTGTTTTTCATGCCTGTTTATTGAGTGTGACTGCTAAATAAGCCACCATGGGACCAGAGAAAGTTCGGAGTGCCAGCCCTTTGATAAAGAAGGCGAGAAACACAGTAGAATTCATTGGTGGTAGAGGGTGGTAATGATGGTGGTAGAGGGTGGTGGTGATGGTGGTAGAGGGTGGTAGTGATGGTGGTAGAGGGTGGTAGTGATGGTGGTAGATAACCTCTCCTTCCTCTCCCCTCCTTGCCTTCTTCCATACATCAACAAAAGTCTTTAATAAAGGTATGTAATAGTGATTTAACCCTTTGACTGTCGCAGGCCCCTTTCTGAAACTGTCATTATATGTCGCAAAATATTCGAAAAAAAAAATATTATTTTTTTCTTACCAAAATGTTAGGATTATTTTACTGAGTGTTTTAAGCGTAAAATTTTTTTTTTGCCATCAGTACTTACCGAGATATAGAGGCGCAAAGTTGCCAGAAAATGAGTGGCATATGGCAACACCGGCGAATGCCACCCACCCGGTATTCTTTTATTTACTCCAATTCGAAGGTGTCTTGTATTTTCCATTTTTTTTCTTTTCTAAGTAACTTAAGTGGCCTGTGAGACCAGAGTAAGGTGCATTGTTCAAATATACACTCATTGTTTACAACACAGTAACTGAACAAACATTATCATTATTAGATTGTGTATAAAACTTGTTTACACAAACAAACAATACAAAACATTGTTTATTACTATTGTTCCATAATAATTCACTGAACACTTTCCTAGAATTGCTGCAGCTTGTGGAACTCTTTGAAACATGGGTATATGCAGAGTGGCACTTGACACTCCTCACACATAAAACGAGTGTCTCTGCATGTTTGCGGGCGTTTTGTGGTATGTCCACATACAAAACACTTCTGAGCACTTTTCTTGAAAGCAGTAGGAGGCAGTTGTATGGGGTAGTGATCACCAGGCCTCAAACAAGATGACGTGTGTTGGTAATTTCGTGGGCGCTGGTCTATTGCAGGTGTTGCTCCTTGGTACTTGACGATTATTTGTCTGATGACTGACAGACAAATTTCACCATATTTTGGTATGTTGTTGGTCCTCAACTTGTATATGTTATAAGCATTTAGCATGGAAATATCAAGAAGATGGAAAAAAAGTTTTATGTACCACTTATAACTCTTGTGTACACAGCAAACCCAATCTGCATGTCACATTTGTCCACTAAGCGCATATTGAGGTTGTAGTCCATGACAGCTGCCTTTTTTAGAATTGGTTCATTGGTCTATCTATTGTGCCTGCCAGTGTGTGCCATTTCGTTTCGGTGAACTGATGTCAAGAATATGACATCACGTTTGTCATGCCACCGAAATGCCATGATGTCATTAGCAGCAGAGGCCTGCACCTCACCTCTGCAAGTGCCAGCATCGAACCTTGGCATATGCTTATGATTACCACGCACTGTGCCACACACGTCTGTCAGGTTCACTCACAAGAAATCACTGATTATGGGGCTTGTGTACCAGTTGTCAGTATGTAATATATGCCCCTTGCCAAGATATGGTTCCATCATTGTTCGAACCACATCACCAGAGATACCCAATAACTTCCTGGTATCTCTCAGTGTACAGTGTATCTGCCAGTGTACACAATGATATCCAAAACGAGACCACTTTTGCAATCACACAGTACATACAACTTTATACCAAAGCGTTTCCTCTTGCTTGGTATGTACTGCTTGAATGAGAGTCTTCCTTTGAATAAAATCAAAGACTCGTCAATAACAAGCTTCCTGAAGGGATAAAAGTACATGCAACACTTTTGTTTCAGGTACATAAACACATTTCTGATTTTATATAACCTGTTGGTTCTGTCAGGCCTTGTTTTGTCTGAAAAGTGTAACATACGTAACAATATCAAAAAACGATTTACTCCTATAATGTCACTAAAACCTGGGGTTGAAATCAGGTGTTCTGCTGACCAGTATGTGGTGACAGTGTGCTTATACACATGTGGTATAAGCATTTTTGTGGCAAAGAACAGGTACATCTCTGCCACAGTTGTATCCTTCCACTGGTGTAGCCGTGATCTTGGCGAAAGAATTGTATTTGCCATGGTGTACTCATAGTATGTGTTGGTTTCCCTGACAATAATGTCCATCAGGGGTTCATCAAAGAATAACTGAAAGCATTCTAGTTCAGTGGCATTGTTCCCAAGTGTACACAATGGCCGTATTCCACTTTGTGTTTCATCAGAGTCATGGGGATTGGGAATAAAATCGTCACCTTGCTGCCAATCCCAGATGCGGTCTGCTGGTGGGTTCTGGATATTGAAACATGGTTGTGGTTGTGCAGGTTGTGGGAGTGTGGGGCTGGGTGAGGCTTGTTGTAGTTGTGCAGAGTCAGCAGCGTTGGTGGTAGTGTGGCCCGCTGCTGGTGCCACATGACTCATGCCACCGCCATCATCACCACCACCATCACCTTCCCCACGCACATTACACATCCCCATTGTAACAATATGGTCATCTTCACTGTCAGGTCGTGGTGTAGGGCCACGGGATGTACTCCCAGATTTACTCCTATGCCTAGGAAGGGCATTAGGCACACTACCAGAATGCATGCTGCGTCAAATATACTGCTGTTTCACTGGCGAATATTCCCCCTCACAGTTGCTACTCGAGCTGCTGTCAATAATTTTGAAATCACTATCATTATCACTTTCACTGCTCAGATCTGAGTCCTGTAAACGGGGAAATAGTTTCCTTTTTCGTCCTGGTACAGGTGAATGTGACTGAGATGTGCCAGCACCAGAGGTGGACGGTTGTGGGTCATCGGGGTTTTCATCACTAATTACGTAATCCTGGGCACTGCTTTCAGTCACACCCTCTCCAAAACCATGAAATTAACTTTCACTGGCACTTCTATCACTGTTAGAACTATCACTTGGGAACAGTAGACCTCCAATACACTGAGGAGTGAGGTACTTCTACCGCGAGGCATGGTGAAAATGGACTACCAAGATGGCGTTCCCACAATGCACCACCGAGTCCCAGATTTTTTCACAGGGTGCACACCCACCACTGAGACCCATTCTCTCTCACGAAGGCCTACCAGCTTTCTCCCGCTTGATTTGAAACGCTAGAATTTACACGTATAAATACGTCCGAACAGTGGCACGTAAGACGTATATATACGACCGAAACAGTCAAAGGGTTAAATGTTAATTTTTTTTATTATTATCTCACTGGCCAATTCCCACCAAGGCAGGGTGGCCCGAAAAAGAAAAACTTTCTCCATCACTGTCTTGCCAGAAGGGTGCTTTACACTACAGTTTTTAAACTGCAACATTAAAATAAGTCATTTATATTTATTTCTCATTGTTTTCTGTATGTAAAACTAGTTATTCTCTATAAAGTGTATTTTATGTTAATATTTTTGGGTGTCTGGAACGGATTAATTGGATTTACATTATTTCTTATGGGAAATGTTACTTCGGTTTTCGTCCATTTTGGATTTCGACCGACCTGGAATGGATTAAGGACTAAAACCGGGGTTCCACTGTACTAATGTGAGGTAGTCAAGGTGGAGGTTTTTCAGAATAATATTCTTGAAGTTGCACATAATAAAAACAGTACATGTATTACAAATAATAGTTCAAACAGTAATATTTCATGGATTGGTGGATGTTTAATATCTGGATTGAGGAAAATGGGCAGGAAGGCACTGCCCTTAGTCATCAGATAATAAGGCACAAGCTCTGCCCCCTTTTTGTATTAAACTGTAAGCAGGATCCTGGCCTTCACAGAATTGTAAATGTGCTTTTGGGAGATTTGATTGTTTAAAGAGGTATTGCCACTTTTTTTTTTTTATTTTTTTTTTGCAATTTTGCATTTGCTGAAAGTCAACTTACTAAGTTTTGGTAAGATTATTGAGGTCTCTGGTTACCACCTTGAGTGAGTAGTCAGTGCTGATGAGACATTATCTTAGGAGCTATTGCCATCAGGATAAACATAGCAAGCAGCAACAAATTGCACCCACCTGGATTTAATATAGTCAAAGACTATAACTATTATTATTATTATTATTATTATTATTTATTATTATTATTTATTATTATTATTATTTATTATTATTATTATTATTATGTCTTTCCTTCAACATATTATGACATATTAAGTAAAAACTGATGCATTTTTGTAGCCTGCACAATTCTTAAGCCTTAAATGTTAAAAGAAAGCAAGTTTACTAGTTATTTAGCATTCTAACAAGAGGGTTAAAATCAGACTAATACCTTAGGTAAGGATGTATCTGGCCTTGCATTCAAGTCTTTTTTTTTTTTTTTTTTTGCTAAAATGTTTTAATATCATGACTCACATGTGCTGTTTAAGGTTTTTACTGTCCTGAATTGGCTCTGGAGTCTACCTGGAGGTTATTCCGGGGATCAACGCCCCCGCAGTCCGGTCCACGATCAGGCCTCCCGGTGGATCAGGGCCTGATCAACCAGGCTGTTATTGCTGGCCGCACGTAGTCCAAATTACGAACCACAGCCCGGCTGGTCTGGCACTGACTATGTATCTGTCCAGCTCCCTCTTGAAGGCAGCCAGGGGCCTGTTGGTAATTCCCCTTATGCTTGGTGGGAGGCTGATGAACAGTCTTGGGCCCCAGACATTTATGGTGTTTTTTCTTAGTGTACCAGTGGCACCCCTACTTTTAATTGAGGGTATTTTGCATCACCTGCCCAGTCTTTTACTTTCTTAGGGAGTGATTTCTGTGTGCAGATTTGGGACCATTTCTTCCAGGATTTTCCAAGTGTAGATTATGATATCTCTCCCTCCTGCGTTCCAACGAATATAAGTCAAGTGCTTCCAAGCATTCTCAGTAGTTCAGGTGTTTGATAGAACTTATATGTGCAGTAAAGGTTCTCTGTACACTCTCTAGATCTGCAATTTCACCTGGTTTGAATGGAGATGTTATTGTACAGCAATATTCCAGCCTAGAGAGAACAAGTGATTTGTAAAGGATCATCATTGGCTTGGCATCTCTCATTTTGAAAGTTCTCATTATCCGTCTTATCATTTTCTTTGCACTTGTGATCATGGCACTGTTGTGATCCTTGAAAGTGAGATCCTCAGACATTACTACTCCCAGGTCCCTTACATTATTTTTCTGCTCTATTGTATGGCCAGAGTTTGTAGTATACTCTGTTCTAGTTATTATCTCCTCTAGTTTTCCATAATGAAGTAGTTGGAAGTTGTCCTCATTGAACATCATGTTGTTTTCTGTTGCCCATTGGAAAACTTGGTTTATATCTTCTTGGAGGTTAACTGTGTCCTCAATAGATGACAGTCTCATGCAAATCCTAGTATCATCTGCAAAGGATGATGCGGTGCTGTGGATTACGTCTCTGTCTATGTCTGATACGAGGATGAGGAACAGGATGGGGGCAAGTACTGTGCCTTGTGGAACAGAGCTCTTCACTATGACAGCCTCCGATTTAACTCGGTTACCACTACTCTTTGTGTTCGATTGGTTAGGAAGTTGAAGATCCATCTCCCCACTTTTCCAGTTATTCCTTTAGCACGTACAGTGGACCCCTGGTTTACGATATTATTTCATTCCAGAAGTATGTTCAGGTGCCAGTACTGACCGAATTTGTTCCCATAAGGAATATTGTGAATTAGATTAGTCCAGTTCAGACCCCCAAACATACACATACAAACACACTTACATAAATACACTTACATAATTGGTCGCATTGGGAGCTGATCGTAAACCGTGGGTCCACTGTATTTCGTGCTCTATTACACCATGACCGCACTTGTCAAACGCTTTTGCAAAGTCTGTGTATATTACATTTGCATTCTGTTTTTCTTCCAGTGCATCCAAGACCATATAGTGATCCAGTAGTTGTGAGAGGCAGGAGCGACCTGCCCTGAACCTATGTTGCCCTGGATTGTGCAGTTTTTGGGAATCCAGGTGGTTTGCAATCATGCTTCTTAGCACTCTTTCAAAGATTTTTATGATGTGGGATGTTAGAGCTATTGGTCTATAGTTCGTAGCTAATGCTTTGCTGCCACCTTTATGGAGTGGGGCTATATCCGTTGTTTTAAGTGACTATGGAATTTCACCAATGTCTAAGCTCCTTCTCCATAGTATACTTAGGGCACGTGAGAGGGGTTTCTTGCAGTTCTTAATAAGCACAGAGTTCCATGAGTCTGGGCCTGGGGCTGAGGGCATAGGCATGTTGTCAGTGGCTTTTTCAAAGTCTATCGGAGTTAGGGTAATGTCGGAAATCTGGCATACATTGATGGAATTTTGAGGCTCATTCATGAAGAAATCATTTGGATTGTCGATCCTCAGATTGATTAGTGGCTCACTAAACACAGTCGTACTGGGATTTCAGTATTTCACTCATTTCCTTGTTGTCATCTGTGTAAGTCCCATCCTGTCTGAGTAAGGGCCCGATACTAGATGTGGTATTTGCCTTGTTTTTGGCATATGAAAAGAAATATTTCTAATTTCTTTCAATTTCACTAATAGCTTTAAGCTCCTCCTGTCTCTCCTGGTTCCTGTAAGAGTCCTTTAATTTAAGTTCGATAATTTCCACTTCCCTGGTCAGTGCTTCCTCAGGAAGCGCTGACCAGGAGGAGAACACTGAGGAGCTCAGTGATTCTTCGTCGTCTTCTGTAGAGGGAGCGTCTTTCTCTCTCCAGTTTACTCCTGCTCTTCTTCTTTCTTAGGGGAATATGCCTAGAACATGCTTCATAAGTTATAAAGAACTTCATGTGCAACTAAATGAGTAGGATCATTTAAAAGCTTATCTGGGTGATGGATGAATCCTCAGCTGTGACCATTCTAGACTTGTGGTGTGTATTTAACATTGAAATTTTGACACCGCTTTTGTTGGCACTGGAGACAACATATTCATGATTTGTTTAAGTGTCATTCTGATTTTAGTATACTGAAATGCATTTTACGAAGACAAGACAGTAGCTATTTAAATTTTCTATTGACTTTGATATATAGTATATACTGAATTATATTTAGCAAGTATTGTGAGTGAAGTATTCTGTACTACTACATATGTATATGGAACATATATATTTTGTTTAGGTATCCTTGTGGGGAGGAGATGCTGTCTTCAACAACTTAGATTTACGCCTTGATGTGCTTGAGCAAGAACTACGTCTTCCATTTTCTTTCGTCAATGGCCATATCCACGAACTGCGAATTCACGTACCTTGGACCAAGCTTACATCAGAACCAATTGTTATTACTATTAACACTATTGGTAGGTACAGACACTTGTTCTTATTTGTTTATGCTACCTGGAATGAGGATAATATAAACTATGTACAATGGTACCCCGAGTTTCGGCCATAATTTGTTCCAGAAGGCTGTTCGAGTGCCGTTACCGAAAGAATTTGTTCCCATAAGGAATAATGTAAGTTAGATTAGTTTGTTTCAGACCCCCAAAAATGCACTCACAAAAGCACTTCAAATAATACACTTGCATAATTGTTCGAGTTGGGAGCTGTATGAAACTCGGGGTACCACTGTACATTTACATGTACAGTGGTCCCTCGTTTTTCGTAATTAATCCGTTCCTGGAGCCGTTACTATAAACGAAATTTACGATTTGCAAATCAATTTTCCCCATAAGAAATAATGTAAATACAATTAATCCGTTCCTGACACCCAGAATTATTAAAACAAAAAAAATTTTACATGAAATATACATATAGTACATAAACAATACAATGGGAAATGATGAATGAAACATTAACAGCATAACACTTACCTTTATTGGAGATTCTTCTTAGTGTGTGGGAGACTGGAGGAGGAGAGAGATTGGATTGTTTACAGTTTGGAAGGGGAATCCCCTTCCAGCAACACCTCAGGTACCAATTGCTTCTCTGGGGTTGCTTCTCTTCTCTGTTTCTTAATGCCACTAGGACCACCTTGAGAGTCACTCTAGTCCTGTCTCACAAAGTAACTGTGGAGAGAGCTCTGTTTCTGGCGTCTCTTTAACACTTCCCGAAAATGGCCCAAGACTTTGTCACTGTATATATTTCTCACCTTCTTTACCACAGGCTTGGCACTAGGAGCTTTCTTTGGAGCCATGGTAGCTTATTTAGTAATTGCAAGCACTAAAATAAGTGGAATATTATGAAATATTTCGTAGGAGCACTTGAGGGGACCTTCACTCACTGGTAAACAATGCCAGACTGGCTGGGTAGGGAGGCCGCCCCGGCTCACACCGTGAGTACGCATCCCGGACGAACTACTATTCGCGAGTCAACCTATGAAAAGCGAGTCCATGTTTATACGAAAATATCCCTATGATTGGCGAAATTTACGATTGCCGAGAACTACGAAAAGCGAGGGACCACTGTATATAGTAATTTTCTGCCATAATAATTTTTCCTTATATGAAGTAAGAATTTCATTTAACCATTACACAATGCATGCAAGCTGTCAAGGCATCAACGATCATACAAATGCAGAACTGAACACAAGTCATTCTTATAAGTTTGCAGGAGTTGTGTTTGTAGAAGTCCTGCAAAATTAAAAACTGTAAGTAATGCAAAATTTAGTGTGTATAAATTTTGCTTCAGATTTTTTGTTCATTTTGTGTTTCGAAGACCATTACTCTATAATGTTTTACTTTAATATTGGTATTATTGACCTTTATAAGAAATAATGGCCATAAAAACAGAGGCTTGTGTGTGGGACTGCCATTGAGACAGAAAACCACTGAAAAATAATAATTTTTATTTCTATATAACTTATACAGACCATAGCTGATGTAACTTATACAGACCATAGCTGACATCAGTGACATACTGTATAGAAAGCCCTGGTTATGCAGAGTATTTCAGTCAACTTAGATTAATTTTGTCACCAGGATACAACCTACACCAGTCAGCTAATACCTAGGTACCTACTTACTGTTAGGTGAACAGGGACAGCAGGTGTCTTAAGGAAACATGCCCAGTGTTTCCACCCATATCAGGGATCTAACTACGAACACTCAGTGTGTGAGCTGAGTTTGCTACCAACCATGGTAGATATTCACAAATAATACAGCTAGTGAATTTGTAGAAATGAGTGAATTCTGATTTTATGAAAAAATTAATAAAACACTCTTAACAGTTTGGTATCATAGTACAGGTTGGCCGTCACTACTCCGGCAATCAGTAATCCGGTTCCACCAGTAATCCGGCACTAATTTTGGCTAGCATAATTTCAAACTTCCGATTTTGCCACACCAACCTGCCGCTGCTGTTTGGTGGCAATACTTGCTGAACAAATCATTCCAATTTCCTTTTCTCCATTTATTGTTATAACCTGCTCACTTTTAGCCTTAGCCACCTAGCCAAGGTTCAAACAAATAAAAGAAATGCTTCTCGTTGTATTAACACACACACCGTATATTGTCCTAAGATAGGGTGGCTTTGAAGCTACTGTCAGTCACCATGAACTCAACTCACTCAAATAAGCTGTGACTGGTAAATTTAGGCCTACATATGAGAGAATAGGTCTGTGTGGTAAGTGTGCACTATATAAAAAAAATCCTGCAACATGCAGTGCATAATGAGAAAAAACTGCGACTCTGTTTATGGTGTAAAACTCCGATTTTGCGGTGTATTTTTGTATGGTTTTTATGGTTGTTTTCTAGTATTTTGGTCTCATTTGATAGACTGGAAGATATATTACAGAAATAGATATGATTTTGATTGGTTTCATGATGGAAAGTAGCTTGAAATTGAGCTCAAAATAGCGGAAATGTTCGATAATTGTCAATGTTCAACAGTAAACAAATGATATCATCATCCAATACATGTCCAACTGACCAGTCTAATATGCAGTCACAAATGGATTGATATTATTTATATAATTATTACAATATTGCAGTGGTTTGTATAACAGTAAATCTTCTATTTCTTATGTGAATAAAAATTCAAAATGGAAAGCAAATGTAATATAAGAGAGGCCTGAAAACATGACTGATGAATAGAGAAAATGTTATTTTAGTGCCTTGAATGTCTGCATTGTTTATTCTGGACCCTATTTTGAAAATGGCATGTCGTGAAATTTGTGTGAAATTGGCAAAATTACTGATTTCTGACCACTTTATTGGGTAGTTGATATAGGTAAATGGGCAGTTTCTTGTACTCAATTGACAGAATAGAAGGAATACTAGTGAAATAGTTTGGTAGACTGCAACAATGGAATGGACCAAAAATAGGGCATAAAGTGGGTGAAATTGCCGATGCGTAAATATTGCCATTGGGTTAAGTGTATTCTAACTTAACCACTCTGTAATCCGGCAAAATCACTAATCTGGCACCCTACAGGTCCTGATGATGCCGGATTCGTGATGGTCAATCTGTGCTGTATTAAGCATGCTTATTGAAACTTAATAATAAAGAGTAATGCAGCCTGTCATAAGAACAAAATATATAAAACAGTTTTATAATTACAGTCCTAAAATACTGTATACACAAGATGAAGTGTTACTTTTGTATTTGTGGGTGGTGTCTTTTGTCTAAAGCTAGCATTTTATATAACCCCTGATGGCTGCTTTTTGTTGTATAATGCCCAGTTTAAGATGCTTTGCATTTGTTGATACAATACACAGATACCATGTGTATGATATGTATAGATAAGTGCGACATGTAGAGTTGAAGTAGGTGTATTTAATAGGGGGCTTGCAAGAGTATGATCACAGTTTTTGATACTGTAATTTGTTGCAGTGTGTTGGATATGAGTATTGAGTTTTAGTTTTAGTTCACCTGTCAACCTAGAATTACTTTAATTTTTCCTCTCAACTTGTTTGTCATATATGTTGTTCTTTATTTGACTGGAGGTTATATTACCATACAGCATGTAATAGGCTGTTTTTATGTTTACTCTAAGTTTTGTTGACTATTAACCATATGTAGGTGCCTTTTAGTTCATCTTTTATTATTTCATTTTAGGCAAAAAAAAAAAAAAAGATATTTTGAAAAGCCAAGTGATAAATCATTTACAGTTAAATGAGTGATGGTGAATGTGTTTCTTTTGGGTTTCCCTATATTGGTAGGAAATGGAAGATTTTTTTTTTTTGTCTTTTCTTCAACAAGTCGGTCGTTTCTCACCGAGGCAGGGTGATCCAAAAAGAAAGAAAATCCCCAAAAAGAAAATACTTTCATCATCATTCAACACTTTCACTTCACTCACACATAATCACTGTTTTTGCAGAGGTGCCCAGAATACAACAGTTTAGAAGTATATACGTATAAAAATACACAATATATCCCTCCAAAACTGCCACTATCCCAAACCCCTCCTTTAGAGTGCAGGCATTGTACTTCCCATTTCCAGGACTCAAGTCCTGTTATATAAAATAACCGGTTTCCCTGAATTCCTTCACTAAATATTACCCTGCTCACACTCCAGCAGCTCGTTGGGTCCCAAATACCATTTGTCTCCATTCACTCCTATCTAACACGCTCACGCACGCTTGCTGGAAGTCCAAACCCCTCACCCACAACACCACCTTTACCCCCTCCCTCCAACCTTTTTGAGGACGACCCCTGCCCAGGGGCTTTATGATGCTGTTGTAAACAGTACATGGACACAGAGGGTATATATAGGTATTGGAGTGAGGTGCAAGGCATAATATAATCATTGTAGGTAGTGGTAGTAATACTAGTACAGTGGACACTCCCATTTTGTCTTTAATTCATTCCAGAGAGTCTGACGAAATGTGAAATTGACTAACACTGAAACCATGTAAATTTAGTTAATCCGTTTTAGACATCCAAAAGTATAAACAAAAAGTACATTTTATAGAGAAGAACTATATTCCACGGCTTATTTGTCTATCACAATTCATTTAATATGACATAAACAATATAAAAAACATAGAAACATGATATATACTCTAGAATGAATAAAATATTATTATTATTTTTTTATTATCACACTGGCCGATTCCCACCAAGGCAGGGTGGCCCGAAAAAGAAAAACTTTCACCATCATTCACTCCATCACTGTCTTGCCAGAAGGGTGCTTTACACTACAGTTTTTAAACTGCAACATTAACACCCCTCCTTCAGAGTGCAGGCACTGTACTTCCCATCTCCAGGACTCAAGTCCGGCCTGCCAGTTTCCCTGAACCCTTTCATAAATGTTACTTTGCTCACACTCCAACAGCATGTCAAGTATTAAAAACCATTTGTCTCTATTCACTCCTATCAAACACGCTCATGCATGCCTGCTGGAAGTCCAAGCCCCTCGCAC